AAGATGAATAAGTACTAATTATATTTTATATTTATTTCAACTAATATCTTATATATTTTTAAGATAGGAAAAAGTAAAAAAAAAATTCAAAAATTAAAGCTCTGAAAATATTCCCAAATGAAATCTTAATAAGATAGAAGATAATTAAATTATTACTTTATTTTCTACATACTTATCTTTTTTGGTTCTTTTACTGGATTTTTTCAGGTAATAATATGGAGATAATCTTTATATATGACAACGTTTCTATATAATTTTTATATGTAATTATATAAGTGTTTTTATATATAATTAAATAAGTGAATATATATAATATTATAAATTTCAATAAAGTGAAAATAGTAAATTAATTTTTTAGTATTAATCTTTCGGTATCTGATAATCACAATGGATCTTAACTCATTCAAAATCGAATCGCATCAGATTTCATTAGAGGAAATTCTTTCAATACCTGTTTCTCTATTTATAAGACTCGAACTCGAGACTTATTTAAGGAGAACCGAGTTCTTTTTATTTGGACTAATAAGTCATTGGTGAAAAGGGTAAATTATTAAATATTATATAAAATTATATAAAAAAGGTATGCAAAAAATTTATCTCTTAATCATTTTCATTTTCTGTTTCTAGACTACTCTATGCCTTCAAGGGAAATATTAATTTATATTCAGCCTTGGCAAAACTCGGCCCAAAGGCCACATTGGTCCAATCAACCCGTTATGGATTATGAGTAGCTATCCCTAATCTATGGGTCCATTTGACCCACAACTCATTTGAACAGGGTCACAAGGGATAAACTCAAAACTCATGAATGGGCAAGGTTATGGGTCGTCTTCTCTGACCTATGAGCCCGTTTGTCATATCTAGTTGCAGTCTTGGAGAGAAATATCGACAATATAAAATGTATTGAATATTAATTTTCTCATTTAAACTCTGCATTACTTGACGATTGTGAAATATTTAGTTTTTTCACATTTAGGAAGTGATATCTCTTTCCATAAAAAAATAAAGAAAAAGGGATAATATCTCTCTTAGCATAAAAAATATTTGGTATAGAGATAATGTAGCGATTAGTGGTGGACTGGTGGTTGATAGCAATAGTAAATAGTAGGTACTGATTTTAATAAATATTTGATTATATAATATTAGTAGTTATTATTTAAAATTAGATGAAAATAAAGATAAATTAAAAAAGTAATTAATTGTTTTTCCTCTTAACTCTAAAATAATTTATTTTTATTGTTATTATTATTATCTTGCAATTAAAATTGAAATATCCCAATTATTGTTTTGAAATAATATAAAAGTAGATAAAACAAGAACTATAGGGAATTAAAAAACAACACTGACAAGAAAAAAAAGGCTTGTAGCTTATTTCATATATCACATAAAGTAGACTTATTCAGTACAGGAGGTTTATAACCAAATAGTGCTGGCCATGAGTAAGGCAAGAACAAGGAAAGTCTGGTCATACTTGTTTTTAATCATAGCATGGTCTCTATGGAATGCATGCAATAATACTATTTTCAGAGCTTAAGAGGCTTCAGTGGAGGATGCTTTTGAGAATATTCAAGTCAGTACTTTCTTGTGGCTAAAAGGAATGGTGAAGGGCTTTATTTCCAAATTTTATGAATGAGAAAATAACCCTTCTAATTGTGCTATGGCAGTTAGATAAAATTTAATTTGTATGTTTGTATTAGGTAACTGTAGACTTCTTGTTATTGGATGGTTCTATAATTAGTTGATGTAATGGGTTTAAGATACCTCTTATACCTCCATAATAAATTATTTTTTGCTAATATAAAAAAAA